GGAATAAATAAATCATGGTTCACAAAAGATATTTAAATAAAGACAACTTGTGCTATTTTCAACAAATATAGCTGTTGGTGAAAATATTAAAAATAGAAAACAGTTTTAAGATTCGTTTTTAACTAATCAATCAATTATTCACAGAGTCATTAGAATCAAGATTCTTATAAAATTCTCTTATTTTATCTTCAATCTCTTGAAGTATTTTTAAAGCTTCAATTGAATTTCTATTCTTTTTCATTATTAAAAGAAATTTTGTAATTTCAATCTTTGAAATTAAGTCTAAAATTGATATTTTTTTAATTTTTAATTTACATCTTTTCTTATTTAAATCAAGTAAACATTCATTTAGTAATTCTAGAACGTCAGAAACTACATAACGTAAATATTTAATTTTTTTCCACCTTTCCTCATACTTCTTTAAATCAATATTAAACCTTTTTTTATCTCTTCAAAATCTTTGTCACTGTCAGATAATTCTTTTTTATATGTTATCTCAGCACTTCTATTAATATTATAACCCTTTAAATCATAATAATTATTCATTTCCATTAATTTCTCAACTATTGGGAAATCATCTTTAGATAATCCTGGATTATTTTTCAAACAATTCTTAAACCATTTTGAGTTTGAATCAGAATTTGACTTTACTTTGTTGCGTTCTTTTTTAATTTTTTCGTATTTTTCAAATTTATTATCTAATTCTGAGAATTTTAATTGATGAACTACCACTACATATAAATCCAAAATTTTCTTTTTAATTTTTAATGATCTTACTCTCTTCTCATCATCACTTAAAGTTTGAAAAGTTCCATATTTATATTCCAAAAACATTTTCTCAGCTATTTCTAAGGAGTGTGAATCTACAGATTCTTAAAAATCAATCTCGTCTTTTTTCGATAATTCACTACAAATGAAATTTTTGTCATTATTTACTACTCCAAATAATTCGTTTAAAAAATCAATTATATTTTTTTTATAATTTTCATCATCAAATTTAATCTTATTTAACTTAGCAAGACAATCTTTTAAACCTCTTTTCTTAGCGAAAAAGTTTTCATTATTCTTTTTTATGTTTTCTAAAACTTTTTTTAAAAAACAAACTTAAAAGTTTCTAAATAATGAATTGGATTCTTTTATTAAAGCAGAGACCTCTTCCCTATTTATAATATCTTCACATCTTACTCTACCAATCACAAAGGTATTGTTGCTTAATAAAAACATCACACTGCTTAAAATACTCATCAGCATACTTCTCATATTGGGGGTATCAAAAAAATCAATTTAAATATTTTTATAAAATATTTTTTTCCATAATAATTAATTAAGCTTATTTGAAATTTAAAAAATTTAAATTATTTTTATAAAAACATTTTTCAATGAATTTAAACATTTATTTGTAATTGCTGAAACAAAAAGAATGATTATAATAAAGTTTACTAAGTCTTTCTTTTGATCATCAACTGTCTTCTTTACTGTTTATACAAGGGCTGCTCTCTATATCAAACACGTATTTATTGTCATCTTTCTCATTAAAATACTCTTCACTCATCTTGTACTTATTTTCTATTATTAATTAAAATTTCTTCATAAAAAATTTTAAATATAAAATCTATCTACTAGAATTTCTTAAAATTTACTTTATTATACCAAAAAATTCCACTCATTTTAGTTGATACGACAGTAATGTGAGTTTTATTTGTTAGAGTGTATAATAATCTCATTCTTTATATTGATAAAGTACAATGATGTTCAAAATATTGGTCATCAAGTATTTATAACCCAAATTTAAAACCAAGTATGAAAAAAGTAATTTTTTGATTAAGAAGTGTCGTAATCACCTTAATGCTTTGACCTAAAATTATACTTGATTAGTTTTGTACAATATTCTTTAAAATATTTTTGTAAATATTTTATAAGCTTCTTAACCCATTAAATTAAAGATGAGTAAAAATAACAACATAAGAAAGATAATAAATAAGAAAAAGATAATTACAACATCAGATTGTATTTAACAAACAGTGATTCAAGTATTGTCGTATCCTCCAAAATAAGTAAATTGTTTATTTGTTTAACAAAACATATTTAAAATGATTTTGATTGATTTGACAGGTGAAATATTTAAAGAAGATATTTTATTTAGCCTATAGAAATTAAATACAGGATGAGTGAAGAATATTTAAGTAAGAGAAAGATAAGTGATATTAGAGATGAGTTAGATATAGAGAGTAGCCCTTACGCAGGGAGTAAGGAAGACACTTATGGATCAATGGAAAGACTTAATAAACTTTGTTCTAATCACTCCTTAGGTTTCAGCAACATCATAAGAAATTATTAAGAAAACAGAAGAAAAATTTAATACTAAAATTTTAAGACTTGTTTTTTCAAAAAATTGAATTTTCTAATATTTTAACTAATATCGATGTAAAAAAAACTTCTACTCAGTTTTGTTAATATAATTACAAATTTCAAAAAAAAATTGAAAGAAAAATAAAACATCAATGAAAATTATTTACACTGACGAAACTAAATTTGACCTGTTTAATAGTGATGATACCTAATATGTATGATATTTCCCTTTAAAAAGATTTGATTTGAAAAACACTTTTAATATAATAAAGCATAATACGAAATGTATTACAATCCGGGGTTAAATGTAGATCAATGAGCTAGAAGGCTTGTTTATTGTTACCTAAAGGAATACTCCGGTTTTAAATGAATAATGGTAAAACTTTTAATTAAAGTTTTACCCATCGAAATCAATAAAATGATTAAAAATAAGAATGGTTTTAAAGCTGAAAATATTAAAGACTTAGAAGCTCAGAAGATGGGCATTGATAATTTAACAGAGATCACAGACAATCTTAAAGGTAATATTTATATTGAAAATATTATAACTAGTTTGTTTAAATAGATTTTGGCCCAAAATTTAAGACAATCTGTTATTGAAATTAAAGTTAGCAAATTCTTCTTATAATAAGATAATGATTCCAGATATACTTTAAATGTAGTAAGTATTTGGTTGAATGAAAAGAGTATTTATATACATAGTACTTTGAGCACCACAAAGTTCAATCATAAACCTCATTGAACATATTTGAGTATATATGAAGATATTTTTTTGATAAGAAAAGATTATCTTATCAAAAAAATATTAATGATGAAATTGGTTAAATATAAAATTTTTTTCCACAAAAATGATAAGAGCGTATATTTTAAGTTTCTATAAAAGAATTTAAGATGTTAATCAATCAAAAATAAACAAAGTAATTATTAAATAAAATAAGGTCAAAATTTTTAAAACTTTTTTTTGTTATTCACTAAGTAAAGTATAAATTAAAAATTATATCAATTTTACTTTCAGTTAATATTTAATTTTTATTATACCTTTTAATAAAGAAATTACATTTTTCCATACTTAATTTAGTAAACGATTTTTATAACACAACCATATCTTTTTTTTCTTAAATATCAATAAAATTAGTTTTAATATTTTATTGAAAAACTATCTTATTGTTTTAAATTGGTTTAATTAATTAAAAATAATAAACGAAAGATGATGTTTATAATATAATTTATAAATTTTGTGGTTTTTTATATAATAAAAATAATTATAAAAATTGATTAATTCACTATTTAAAAGAAAATTTATCAATTTTTTATAAAAAATCAAACTTTATATTAATTATTTTCGTTTTTTATAAAATAACTTTTAAAATGATTTAATACATTTTTATTCTGATTTTGTAAACAGTTGATGAAAATGTTTTTTAACCATTTTAATCAATAAAACAATCACAAAATATAAGTTACTTAATAAGAGTTTTTAAATATATTTCTACAATGATTTTTTTAACAAACTTTATTAAAATATCAAATTTAATAGAGAATTAATTAATTTTAAATAAAATTTTTACATATTAAATTTATTTGACGTGACTGCAAAGAAGAAAATGATTGAAACTAACTAAAATAGGTAGGAAAATTCATAAAACAACTAATTATTTAAATACATGTCAATTTTAACAAAATAAATCACTAAAAGTTAATAAAAACACAGTTATAATTTAAATTTTACAATTATTTTTTTGCTAAGTTTTATTTTATTTAAAAAATAATAAACTGATTAAATGATTAAAATGATTAGAAATAGATGGAAATTAAAGCTTTTAAAAACTCTATATATAATAATATTAATTTTATTTACAGCTACACACTTATATTTTACATCTTGTAGTATTTACGATAAAAATTCGATAATTCTTAAAAACGTGCAGAAGTTTTTTAAGAAGTTTGAAGAATTCGTAAAAGATAATATAAATAACTTAGAAATTGATGATAATGTTTTATCGTTGTTAAGTAATTCGAATAACTTAGATATTGAAAAATTAGCAGATTTTTACATTGGAATGTTATTAAGAAAAATCACATTCTCAGTATTTAGCAAATATAGAACATTCTCACTGATAATAAACAAAGCATATGATCACCTACTAAAGTTAAAATTTAATAATGATGACAATGAAATGAAAGAATTTATTGAAAATCAATATACAAAAGAAAATATACAAAAATTTAGTAAAAATCCGTATAAAATATTCTTTAGAGAATATGAATATTCAAATTTAATTCATCAGTTAATCGCATATAGAAGTTAAAATTCTTTTGTTTATATTTAATTAAACATATTGATTTTTTAATAATCGTTAAAAAAGGAAAATTTTGTAATTTAGAACATTTTTAGATAGATAAATAAAGTTAAGTTAATTAACCCATGTTATTTAGCATATTAAACAATATATTATTAGCTAGTGGAAATCTAGTTGTAACTACTAAAGGATATAAAGTAACAGGAACAGATAAAGGATCATATGAACTTACAGTAGTAACAAGTGGAAATAGGAATATGCTTATTGAGAAAATGAAAGCATCAGGTGTATCAAGAGTATTAGTTGGAGGATGGGAAATACCAGGACCAGAAATGGTTTTAGATACAGTAGGTAATGTAGTACCAGTTGAACATCATAATATGCCATGTTATGAAATGTTATCAGATAAAAGTTGTCCATCAAAAGTAGTTATTCGTAAGATTGGTGGAGGTTGTAAAGATTTTTATATGGTACATGCTAAAGTAGTAGATGATAATTGTCATCCACAACCAGACTGTAAACCAGAACCAGAATCAGAATGTCATAATAACAACATGAATGATGATTTAGATAGAGTTAATGTTTATCATCAACATTATTATAGATATCCTCGTTATAATTATGGTTATCCTTCTTATAAAAAAGATTACTATAAAAGAGACTGCTATAAAAATGACTATTATTATATGAATAGAAGATATTATGATGATTCAGATAGCTCTAAATGTTACACTCCAGATATTTGTGATGAATCAAATAGTACTTACTGCCCACCTAAATACCCAAAATTAAAAGGTAATTTTTGTAAAACGTCCTCATGTGATCTTGAATTTAAACCAGGAACATTTGACTGTTACAAATTTAAAGATTGTGAGTCAAAAAATCCAAAATTGTCATTCTATTACAATAGAAAACCATATTGCTTAGATCTTTCTCAAAACCATAATCTTAATGAATACAAATGTCCAACTTTTTTTAATGACTATAAATACCTCCATAAGGTTTATAATGCTTGTTATAAAAGATTTGGTTGTGATATAGCATTCTATGTTTCACAAACTAATAATATTGTTGTAGGTGTAAAAAGTAGTTGGTACTACGTTAGTGTAACTGAAAATAAGGTGAAATTGGTCAAAGGTAATGCTGATAAATGTAGAAGATTTGTAAGAGAAGGAGAATACAGAAGAGTTCTTTTCGAGTAATAAACTAGATTGTAAAAATAATTTGTTTATTTTAACAAACAAACATTAAATGTTCATATCAATAATCTTATTCATTTATGGAATAATCCAATCAAAACTAGATCATGAAAAATATTTCATTACTTTACATCAAATGTGCTTCTTTTGTATAATTGAGTTAAGTAGTTGTATTTTAGTGTTAAGGATAGCACAATTCTTTAAACTAAATAAAAGAATAGTTAAAGATCTTGAATTAAAACTTATAATGAATCTATTATTAATCAATATAAATTTAGTAATTGCTTACAGAAGAAATAAAGGTATTAAAGGTTTATTTATCCCAATAATAATCACATCTTTATTAACCTATTGTACACTCATAACAAGATTATTAAATACAAAGTATCTTTATGAAATATTTGATATACTTTTTTATAAGTTGTTAGAAGAAGTTTCAATAGAGATTTTTAATTAGTAAAATGATTTTATTCACCAATTTTCTGTTGTGTAAAATATTGCTTTGTCATCTTGTTGGAATAAATCAAAGTACATAAAGCTACTGTAATTTTTAAAACAATCATTATGATAACTCTAAAAAATATTACATCATAAAGACTCTTATATATCATTTCATCTTCATAACCAGATTTATGAATAAAAAAGTTTCTATAGATAAACTGGAAAATTGACTCAATTATTGTTCCCGCTCTACTTACTTCTACTTCTCCAAATGAAATGATATTTGTTGATCCTTCTCTTCCAACATGAATGTTTACTTCAATTGCAAACTGTTCATCATAATTTTCTATGTTGGTAAGTGAGGAAGTTACTCTATACTTTCCTAATACTGGCGCTGTGAAGAAAAAGTTTGAGTTATTTACTGGTTTAGTTCCACTGTAAATAACTTTGTTTGTATTTTCATTTACTATTTCTAAATTAGCTTGGATATTTGAATTATCTAGTGCTACAAATTCATCTCCTATAATTAAACAATTCATAGTAATGTAATTTACTGTATTTCCTGAGCTCTCTACATACGATACTATTCCAAAGTTATTATCTTTTGTTAATAACTCTTTTAAACAGTATGCTTTAATTATTAAGAAAATTGTTTTAATCATAATTAAGGGTTTTTTAAATTATATTTTTTTATAGTTAGTTTTTAATAAAAATTATATTTTAAATAAAAAAATTTTTAATCAATTTAATGATTAATTTCCATCATCTGGTAAATAAACAGCCTCTGCTTCTTTCATAAGACGATCTTTACTAAATTTATCATAGCTTGGTAAACTACGTAACTTACTCATACTGAAAAATCCAGTTCTCTTATCCGTATCTTTTACAAATGGAAAAGATGTTTTAAAATCATTTGAACTTGTATCTTCTCCATTAAAAAACAAAGATGATAGACAAATAACAAATTGTCTATGAATAATTGAATTTACCAATTTTTGCTTTTTCAATTCAAGTTTCATAATTTTCTGAATAATATCACCTTTTTTACTTTCATCAACTTGTGTAAGTTCATTTTCTTTATTTTTAATTTCATCATCAATATTTTTAATTTCATCTAAATTTTTGAATTTTTTTGATTTTAAAATTTTATCACTTTTCATAAAGAAAGAATAATAAAATAACTTATTCAATACAAAGTATTGAGTTGCAGTTGGATAACCAATAGCAAATGATTTAATAAAATCCTTAACATCATCATCGTTGAGTTGCCTATTTTCACTACTATTAAAGCTATTAGAAGCAATATTTACATAATGTTTATTAATAGCATTAACTAATTCTTTAATTGCATCTGTTAGCTTTTCAGATAATGTAACTTTTCCTTCTTTATTAAAATTAATAAAAAAACTATTATCACTAAAACCACTATTAAGTTTTTTAGTGTAATCTTCTTCAATTTTACGAACAAATTCAAACATTGCCTTGGTTACTTCACCAAGACGTTTATCATTATTTTCTACAAACTTATCATCTTCTCTTAACTTAAATTGCACTAATTCTGAAGTTCTAGTATGAACTAAAGGATTAAGAGGTTTATTAAGTGAGATAAAAAGATGTCTTGGTATCAAAAACTCTTTAAGATAGCACATAATAGCAACGTTATTCTTAAATATCTTGTAAGGATATTTACCTACCATGTTGTCTAATGGATACTGATCATTAACATAACTCATTGACAATGAAACTGTATTAGCACCAAATGGCTGCAAATTATCATAATATGCTTTTGATGAATCAGTGGTAGATACTTTATATTCTGCATTTACTGCTTCATACTTAGTACTGTTAATAAAGTGTACATCATTTAACATTAAGCTTGTAAAGTTATGTCCTGCATACTTTAAATCTGGGAAGTATACTGACATAACAAACTTAACTCCTACCATTAAAAAGAACAACCCCATTAAGAATCCTATTACATGTGTTAATGGGTTTCTTTTAACCTTCTTAGGTGTTTCTTTCTTAGTCTTATCTACTGTTTCTTGTACAGGCACATCTTGTACGGTTTCTCTTATTTTTGTTTGTTCTTCTGACATATTTAACCCCTTTAAAATTTTTATAAAAAAATTAATTTTATCCAATAAAATTTTTATTGATTGAGTTTTTTATTTAACGATTTCCTTTTGTCTTAATATTTTTTCAAAATCATTAAATCTTTTTAATACTTTGGCATCATTAGCTTGTGTTTTAGAGTTTAAGTAGTTATTTGAAATGAATTCTTTCATTCTATCTTTTAATATTAAACCGTCTGTTAGTTTTATTACTTCAAAACAAAGATAAAATAACACTAATTGGTGATGAGATCCAGATTTATTATATACGTAATTTAGTATCTCAAATATTGCTACTTCATCTGTTTTGTAGAGTGTTAGATATTTTGCCAGTGCTTTTAAATCCACTTCTGAGTTTGTCAACAGATACAAATATCTTAAATAGTGTGATTTATTTAGTTCTGTTGTCGACATTTAAGAGGGGTGAAAAAATAACCACTCTCTATTTTTTCTTTATTTTAGAAGATTCTATTGAATTTAAATAGAATCTTGTTTGTTTGTTTAAAGAAACAAACTTTATTTTTTAATAAATTTTATAATGCATTAATAAAAATGGAACCCTTACTAGAATGTATAATAAAAATGAGCTTGGTAACAAAAATAAACCATCGAACTCTTCTAAAGACAATGAGTTTTTTAGCATTGGTACTGTTATTAAAGATAATCTTTCTTCATTTAGTTATACAATTATTGGAATGTTGGGTAGAGGAGCTTATGCTCAATGTTTTAAAGTAACTAGATCTGATCAAGCCTATTTTGCACTAAAAGTTATTAGATTAGCTAATCTTAAAAGTTCTACTGTTAGGGATAAATTAGAAACTGAAATTCAAATACAACAATCCCTTGACCACCCTAACATTGTCAAAATGTATGACAGTTTTAGAGATAATGAGCATATTTTTATGGTTTTGGAATTATGTGGTAAAGGAGCTCTTGATACGCTATTGAATAAGTATAAAAAATTTAAAGAAAAAACAGTATCTATATTTACACAGCAAGTTCTAAAGGGATTATTATACTTACACAACCAGAAGAATATAATACACAGAGACTTAAAATTAGGTAATTTATTTTTAGATGAAAAGTATAATATTAAAATTGGTGATTTTGGATTGAGTGCATTTATACCAGAGGGTATGAAAAGAAAAACTTTATGTGGTACACCTAATTATATAGCACCCGAAGTTTTATTTGATAAAAAGACTGGGCATTCTTTTGAAGTAGATTTATGGTCTCTGGGTGTAATTATTTATACACTACTAATAGGAACACCGCCTTTTCAGAAGAACACAGTTGAAGAAATATATAAAAACATTGAAAATAATTCATATATTTTCCCAAATGATCATAATTTGAGTAGTGAAGCAATTGATATTATTAGAAAATTATTAGTACTTGATCCAAATGAAAGATTATCATTAGAAGAATTACTTAGACATAACTTTTTACATGTAAAAGGTGAAAATATTGCAATACAATTATATAATAATTTATTACTCAATTCTTATAATAATAAGCCAATATTAGACGACCATATAACTTATAGTTTTCCATTGGATATTCTCAAAGGGGTGGGTTATATTTGTAAATCTAATCTCATTGGAATATATTACCATAATAACGATAATATTTATATAAAGAAAGGAACTCTTGTTTATATTAGGGTTAAAATGGTCGATAACAAAAAAGTATTTAAGAAAGATGAATTTTTATTCTCAAAATTACCAACTAGTTTATACCCACACCTGAACAACATCAAATATTTTGTTAAGAATTTTACTAACCTTAATTGGGATAATCTAATGTTACCTGAAATAAAATCAGATATTTACTTAGTTAGAGTAAGAAGGATTGAAAATGGATTGTTATTTGTAATGAGTAATAATGTTTTTATATTTGATTTTGTTTCTGGTGAGAGAGTTGTTATTTCATCTAATGGACTATCTATAAATGTATTAGATGATGATGGTAAATTTATTAATTTTGATACGAAAACAAAAGAAAATATTCTTAATATTTTGAGAATTTTTCAAAGCCCAAATTCAATTAAATAAAGAAATTTTATTAATTCCAGTTAACTTTAACTGAATCAGTTCGAAATCTCTGAGTAACATTACAATCCTTAATTTTAAACTCGCATCCACTCTTGTGCATTAAATAGCCTGTATAAGCTATCATAACACCGTTATCAATACAAAAACGCTCGTCGGTTGAATAAAGAATACCTCCTCTTTGCTTTACCATTTTACCAAGCATTTCTTGTAATCTAACATTACATCCTACACCTCCTACCAACATAACTTCATCAGAACCAACGTATGACATTGCTCTTTCTGTAACTTCAACTAACATTGCAAAAAGTGTTTCTTGTAATGAATAACATAAATCTTCTACCGAATATTCGTGTTTTATTCTCTTGAGAGTTTCAATAGGCCCAGTAAAACTCATATCCATTCCTTTAACAGTATAAGGTAAGGGAATATATTTACTTCCTTTTTTGGCAGCTTGTTCAATTGAGTAACCCGGTGATGGATAATTAGAAAGATTCAGTTCTCTTGCAACTCTATCTAAACAATTGCCAACAGCAACGTCTAATGTTTCTCCAAAAATTTTGTAAAGTTTAACCTTATCACTATAAGCAATGATTTGAGTATTACCACCACTGGCATATAACACAACAGGATTTTTAGCATTAGTAACTAACTTTCCCATTTCAATATGTGCAATACAGTGATTAACTGGAATAAGTGGTTTGTTATAAAGTAAAGACAAAGTTCTAAAAACGTTACATCCAATACTAAGTAATTGGTACATACCGGGTCCTCTAGTATAACAAAATATGTCAACATCAGACATCTTAATATTAGCAGCTTCTAATGATCTTTCAATTAAATCATAAATTTTAGATCTGTGATGTTCAGCAGCATCTAATGGAATAAATCCTTGCCCAGTTGGCGGTGAATAAGTTTCTCTTAAATTTGATAAAATTTCAGAATCTCTCATAACACCAATACCAAGTTTATTAGCACTTCCTTCTACTCCCATGATAATCATAATTTATAAAAATTTTGTAAATGATTTTATAATGATTTATAAAGTTTGTTATTCTTATGAACAAGAAAAGAGAATGTATTTTATAGAAATGAACGCTATTATTATAGAAAGCAAATCTGTTAATTGGTTTATAAAGACAAATCCATTAAAATTGCCTAATTATATAAAAAGAGTGGCTAAATATGATGATAATCACGTAATTTGTTTGACTAAAGATTTTAGTGATATTAAAATAAAACTCCCCGCTTTTAAACCTCTAACAAATGAACATCTTTTAAAAATAAGAAATGAAAATTTAAAGTATAATTTATTGAGAAATATTCCAACATATTTTGAGGATACAATAATAATTGACAAGGTTTTTGAGGATATAAAAAATAACAACTTTTTATGTTGTGGTTACTGTATAATAACAGATACTTCATATAATATTATTTGTACAGAGTATGATGATGAAGATTTTTTATTTGGTCATTCAATATTAAAGTGTGTTAGTTATGTTTCTAGTAAAAAATTGAATTATGAAAAGAATTATTTATGTACTGGTTTATATTGTTTTTTATATAATGAACCTTGTACATCATGCGCTATGGCACTTGTTCATGGACGTATAAAAACAGTTTTTATAGTAAATCAGTCTGGTGTTTATAAAACTTTTTCCAAATTTAAGTTTAATTTTAATAAAAACTTAAATCATAGGTTCAAAGTATATTTTAATAAACAAATTGATTGTTAAAATAGAAAATTGACGTTGTGGCTGAGTGGTTAAGGCGCTAGTCTAGAAAACTAGTGGGGTTTCCCCTCATGGGTTCGAATCCCATCGACGTCGTAATTTTTATAAAAAAACTAATAATTTATTAAAGGTATTAAGCATTCAATAAGAATTTCATTTTCAAATACTTTTAACAATAAAAAATTTTTAGATAAACTTACAACCAAATCACCTTGAAATTCTTTAAAGATTTCTAAACTTTTACCAGATGCTTTACATTTAAATGTTTTTTTACCACTCATTAAACTTGCTTTAAATTCAATTCTAGTTTGAATTAATCCATGTGATTTAAATGAGAATACTCCTTCTTTATAATTTATTATAACATCATCAGTAGTAAGTGTTGTTACAATATCCTCTACATGAATTACAGATATCTCTTCCTCACTAAAACCAGACTTGATAACTTCATAAGTCTTAAAAGTTTTAGTAATTTCAACTGAACTATCAACATACTTTTCCAAACATTTATAAATCACTACTTCATTATTTAATTCAAAATGATCGGTTGATCTAATCATCTCTAATAAGTCTTTAGTATTAACACAGATAGTAAAGTTACAAAATTTTGGTAAATTAACAATAATGAAAGAAGATTCAAGTGTTTTAGGAGTTAAAGTTACTTTTGATGAAAATTTATCAACTAAACTTAACTTTTCAATTAATTCCTTAGAAACTTGAATATTGCATAACATAAAAACAAAGAAATTTTAATTAAAAAGTTTTTATAAAAAATGTTTGAGTTTAAAGAAGATTCAATAATTAAAGATATTGATTTTACTACGAAAGTAGGATTAAATAAGACATTAGAATCTTTTGAATTTAACATAATAAAGAAAGAAGATAATTACTTAGAATTTGATATTAAGAATTGCCACACATCAGTAGTAAACACACTTAGAAGAATTATTTTAACTGAAATCCCAACAATCGCATTTCACTTAGTAACAATTACTGAGAATAACACCATCTTTACCGATGAATATCTTGCACATAGAATTGGATTGATACCAATTAGAAAGTTAAGTGATGAAGTAGAAATTAGTAATTTAAAGTATAATTTAAAATGTTTTAATGATACAAATAAAAACATGAATGTTTATAGTAACAGTATTTATGGTGATGATAGAATTGAGATAAAAAGGAATGTTTTAATAGCTAAATTAGCACCAGGTAATAGTATTAATATGACAATTCAACTTGCAACAGGTATAGGTAAAGATCATGCTAAATGGTCACCTGTTAGTATGTGCACATTTAGATTGATGCCTAAAATAGAAATATTTAAAGAATTTAGAGATGAAGATGCTATTGAATTACAGAAGTTATTCAGTCCAGGTGTTATAGGAATTAAAAATAGTATTGCTTATGTAGAAAATCCCAGACTAGAAATGATGAGTAGAGAATTTCTTAGATATGAAAAATTTTCTAAACATATCAAATTATCAAGAGAAAATCTCTGGTACACTTTTACAATTGAAACAATTAATGAAGATCCATTAATTTTATTAAATAAATCATTAGAAATTTTTAAAGAGAAAGCAAATAATTTGAAAGAAAGATTAAATGAAGAATTAATTTAAAGTTAATAAATCAAATTTTTAATTTTTATTAGAATTTTTATTTATTGAAAATAATTTTTTTAAAAGTTGTTTTAATGTCATCTAAATTATTTTCATAATTGATCACGGTGTAATGTTCTCTATTTCTTTGATGAGAAACTCCTCTCATTAGAAATAAAATAGTAGGTTTTTTATAAAATTGTTCAACATCTTCATCTGTCAGAAATATCAAATGTGAACAATGTTCTAATTGGATATTTCTGAGATTTTCATCAGTTACAGTATCAGAGTGCATTAATAACGTAATCTTGTTGCCGTTAATATCCGCAGGTATTGTTTGAAAATCATCAAAGTTATTGACCTCAATATCGAAAAAATCTTTAAGGAATACCTTCTTATATTGATTCTTTCCTATTAAGAAAGCCTTAGTTTCCTTTTTCTTACCATTCAAACAGAAGCACAAGTCTGAGATAAACATTTAGGGTTAAATAAATAATTTTTTATTTTAAATAGTAAATTTATTTGCATGTCATCAAATTATTTTTATATTAACACATCATTAATAAAGTATCTTAATCAATTTTTTAATTAGACTTAAAAACAAACAAATTTAAAAACTGATCAAATAAATTTTTTATTTGCTTTTTAATTAATAAAGTTTGCGATCCTTAATGAATCAAAATAATACAAGAATATCAGAAGAAGAATGGAATTTAATTTTTGGGTTTGACAATGATGGATTTAAGCAAACACAAGAAGAAAACCTAACAAATATATTAAAAGGGGAACCTTGTAAGATTATTAAAAATAAAAATATAACAACACAGGAAATAGAAAATAACGAGAGTAACAAAAACGAAAAAGAAAATTCTAAAGAACCAATATTCAATTGTAAGAGCTTTAAAATACTAACAACACAACAGAAAGATATAATTGATAGAGAAATAGTATCATCTAATCTAAAACTTAATAAGAAACAGATACGGTTAATAGCTAAAAAATACAACATACCAATAAACAGAGCACTAACATACGTTTTTAATAAAAAATTACCAAATAGAAGAAATTATAAGAATTACTTGTATATGAATTATATAAATATAGAAGAGCTAGTTAGTGATATGAAAGAAATAGAGGCAAAAATTAAAAAGTTAAGGGAATAAAATAATTCGCTTGAATTTTTAAAAACAGAATCTATCAGAAAAGTAAAATGATCAATTTTATCAAAAATTTTTTATTTTGATAGTGCCGTGTTTTACCCTAGGGATACGACCCGTGATGACATATTGTGTGAAGTAAGACTTAATCTTACTTGTATCTGTTGCGTTGTTAATAGTGTTGTTGTTTACTAATTTATTCATTGAATATTGGGGTTAAAATTTAGAACAAATTTATGTTTAAATTTTTTTTTAAAACGAATCCTTTGTAGAAACAGAGTTACTACAGTAAGTAAAGAAATTTCATCAGAGGAGGTTAACAA